TGGTCCGTTCTGAGCCTGCACCTCCGCATGCTGAAGGGGAGGGAGGCAGGTGTGAGAGGCCGGCCTCACGCAGGGCCAGGCCTTCGCCCTCATCTACTCCCCATGACTTTTCCCAGGTGGTCAGTGTCATTCGAGAAATGGGAGCCGGTTGGTTTACACTCACAGTTTTGAAGGCACAAAGTATTCTTTAGAGTCTGGTGTTCTGATAGAAACAGGAATCAAAATAAGAAAAACTGACATGGAAAGAGGACCTCAGCTGAAAGCAAATACGGAGGCCCATCCCCATCTCAAATTCTGTAAGAGCACAAGCTCTGGGGACACCCCTGAGCTGTGTGACCTTAAGCAAGTTACCTAACCTCTCTGAGCCTCTGTTGCCTCATCTGCAAAATAGAGACCATAATATGTCCGCTTCCAGAATAGTTGTGAGGTTAAATATGTTCTTACTGCTAAAGCACTTAGAACGGTGCCTGACTATAAGTGGTGTGTGTTAGCTATTATTACTATTACCTTTGTTATTAACACTTAGAAGAATGCTGTGATTGTTACTATAAGAAGACTGTAGTTAACAGTGTCCCTATACCTCTGACCCTTCACCACCACCAAGAAAAACCAAAAAACAAGACAAATCAAAACAAAAGTATAAGATGGAGGAGATGTGACTTTGCAGCATAAATTAAAAAGTAGACTTAGGCTGTTTTTGCATATATTGAGTATTTTGGACCAAGGTGAGGTTGCAGTTTGAAGATGCAGAGGCCTGTACATTCACTCCCTTCAGGTTTTATAGTTTCACTTGGCTTCTTATTGCCAAGCTGCCTTTAGCATCCTCATACTGTTTTCCAATATCAGCTCCTCATTACAGCTTTCATCTACAAGCTGAGGTTAATTTTCCTAAGATGACGACAGCAGTGTTTGCACCTTCCTCCAGCTCCGCGGCCTGTGAGTGTAACATTCAGGCATTCAGGAGTGACTCTCACTACCTTCCAAGACCTGGCCATCCCCTTCCTCTCTCGCCCTGCCTGGTTTCTTCCCTCAGGGCTGCACTGTGTGCTGAAGGCAAGCCAGAGCTCTGGTCTCCAGCCTTCCTTTCTCTTGACCTTACCCGAAATGCCACTCACTTGATTTGTTTTATGGTGATCAGTGTTAGAATGTTATCACCTGCATGATGCCTATTTTAATGGTCCTCCCTGATTAAAATTTTATTCTAGGGATTGTCACATTCTGTCTTATGTATATATATCCACCTGTTCATTAGCTTTCAAGGTCTTTGGAGTAGTAATTGAGTTTGCGCACTTTTGCTTTCCCCCGAGGGTCAGTCTGGGGCTCCAAGTCCTAAAAGAGGCTCACTTAGTGTTGAATTGCCTTGAATTGAATTAAAGAGGACCTTAGCCCCCAGCCTGAGCTTGTTAGTGCTTGGACATCTTGGTGCCCCTGTCCAGGCTGGCCAGGTAGAAGCTGCAGAAGCTGTGGGAGCCTCTCACTTTCCCCTCATTCTAGTTTTGATTTCTAAACTCCTGCAGGGCTCTTTCCTCCTCCTATTCACACTCTTTTTTTTTTTTTCAATTGAAGTATAGTCCATTTACAGTGTTGTGTTAATTTCTGGCATTCAACATAGTGATTCAGTTATATATATATATGTATATGTACATATGTATGTACACATGTACATATATATATATTCCTTTTCATGTTATTTTTCATTATAGGCTATTACAGGGTATTGGATATAGTTCCCTGTGCTATACATCAGGACCTTGTTGTTTATCTATTTTATATACAGTAGTTAGTATCTGCAAATCCCGATCTCCCAATTTATCCCTTCCCGCCCCCCTTTCCCCCTGTAGCCATAAGTTTGTTTACTATGTCCACAAGTCTCTTTCTGTTTTGTAGATAATTTCATTAGTGTCTTTTCTTTTTTGTAGATTCCACATATGAGTGATATCATATGGTATTTTTCTTTCTCTTTCTGGCTTACTTCACTTAGTATAACAATCTCTGGGTCCATTCATGTTGCTGCGAATGGCATTATTTCACTCTTTTTTATGACTGAGTAGTATTCTATTGTATAAATATACCTCAATTTCTTTATCAGGTCATCTGTTGATGGACATTTAGGTTGCTTCCATGTCTTAGGTATTGTAAATAGTGCTGCTATAAAACATTGGGGTGCATGTATCTTTTTGAATTAAGGTTCCCTCTGGATATATGCCCAGGAGTGGGATTGCTAGATCCTACAGTGAGTCTGTTTTCAGTTTCATTCACGCTCTTAAACTGCCCTAGAGTTTTCTTCCTGTCTGGTCCAACCCGCTTTACTTTCTCACAGAGGAGCCCAGTCACTCACTGCTCTTTTCTGTCTTGCTTTCTTCATCTTTCTCAAAATGTTTGTTTCTCTTCCAGCCCCTTTTCTTCTATCAGCTTCAAGATTGGAAAGTGGCATTGCTAGCAGAAAATGTTTCTACAAGTTGGGGAGGACTAGGAATGTGTCTGGAATGGGGAGTCACAATGGTTGCTTTTAAACCAGATCAAAGCCTTTTGCCCTTGTTTTCATTCTACTCGAAGGATTTCAAACTAAATCCTTATCCTGCCATATGGAAATAACTGAGTTAGGTGGCTGCTATCTAAGCATTTTTTCAAACACTCAAAACTGGTTTTGATCAAGAAAACAGAAGCTGACAACGAAGCTTTATTTTAGCCAAGGTTTGGGAGAAGTTCTAAACTATAGTGTGTATACTTTGATAAATTTCATAGAGTAGAGCCATGGGTTATAATATTTGTTCTTCCAACATTTTAATCCAAATGATGACTCTAGGCAAGGCTGGATTTACTCACCAGCGTGTTCAGCTAGCTAAAACTGTAGGTACCATCCACAACCTTGTTATTTAAACATGATTTAGAAATCATAAATAGAAATTCAAAGGAGAGCTTGATTTTTTTGCAAGACGAAATTCAATGCCATGAAGAAACCCTCAGAAATTTGCCAGAGACCTTGTGGGTCTTAAAATATCCTCTGTTCCCTTCCAGGCAGATTTGGCAGCTTGAGAACTATTCATGACAAATAATGACAAATATTTTACCAACACACAAAATGTTGCTTTTTGTTTTGGTATTAAATTTGTTTAAAGTTTTAACTAGGAATGTTAGTATAGTAATGTGATAGTCATCTAGCAAATCTCAGGAGAAGTATTACTTCCTTACTGAGCATTTTAGAAAATATTTCTTGACACTAGCTGTGTGTAAGATATTATATTAAATGTTTCTGGTAAGAGAAATATGAATTAAATTTGACGTTTGACCACAAGAAGTGGAAAAACTAAGATATTATAATATAGCGAGTGCCATAGAAAACTTGCTAAAATGCTCTGAGGAATGAGCTTGTGTGGGATTTGGTGAGTCAATCAGAGAAGCTTTATAAAGGAAGTGGAATATGAGCTTTGATGAGTAGCCAAATGATAATACAAGAAATATGGTGGGGGGAGGGGGTCTAGACAGATGAAACGTATTAACAACGTCTCAGAAACAGTGTAGTATGGAGTACAGGCAATATTGTTGGGTTTTGGTTTTATGTAAATGAAAGAGAACAGTTAGAGATAAAGCTAAGTTCTCTGGATCTGAAATCTCAAATTAAAACTTTAATAGGTAATGGGGAATATTTTATCCATTCTTCCACTCTTTAAACAACTTCAGAGCTGTATTTGAGGATAATTAATCTGTCCTCAGCATGTAAGCTTGATTGTGGGGGAAGAGAAATGGAATTTGGAAGAGCAGTTGGGAGATTATTATACTGGTTACTAAATGGTAAGAGTTACGAAGAATGTACTAGGCTGAGAAGAGCAAGATTGAAATGAAGGGGTAGAATTGAGACTTTCTATAGTGAAAATTTCCAAGATTTAGAACCTGATTGGGAAATGAGAGGAAGAAGAAAGGGAGTGGAGTAAAGATAACTGTGAAGAGTCAAGCCTGAGAACTGACACCACTGAAAAAGTCAGACAAGTCAAGTAGTACTGGTGGAAGGTGGGTTCAGCTTTGTGTGGTGTGTGGTGGAAGAGGAGCAGTTTTACTGGTCGAGCATGAAAGTAGGTTCCCCAGCAGAAAGTTGGAAATGTCAAATACACTCAGGCTGTGGTTTGAAATATAGACTTGGGACTCATTAGCATAAAGGAAATGGTAGAAGGCATAGGAAGGAATATGGCTGTCCAGGGAGGGCATAAGGGGAAGATGGCCAAGGAGAGGACACTCAGGGGAAGGTAGTCTCCTTTTAGGTGAGGGAAGATGAGCCAAAATTGAAATAGTGGGCAAGGTTAGGGAAGAGCCGGGAAGAGCTAGGAAGACTTAGTGTCATAAAAAGCTGGACAAGAGTGAGTTTCAGGAAAGGAAGGGTCAAGTAATATCCATGGAAACAGAGAAGTAAGGAGGCTGAGAACTGAGCAGGGGAAATTAAATGTGATAGCTGAGAGTTCACTGGTGACTTTCACAAGAGTGATCTTAGAACTATGAGTTGCTGGGATGTCTTCTATTTAAAAATCTAGGGTTTGTTGGGGCCTCTTAAGTGTTCTGGATATTTCTATTTATTTAACACAGATAATAAAAGATGGTGTGTGTGTGTGTGTGTGTGTGTGAGAGAGAGAGAGAGAGAGAGAGAATGTGTCTTAAGATCAGGGAACTGTTTCATGTAAGTGATAAAATTATTTAAGTAAAATATGCCTTGAGCTTACATTTCACTAATAATAGAAACATTAATTCAGCCAAAAAAGGGAATCTCCAGAATTTTTTTTAACATTTTTTATTGATTTGTAATCATTTTACAATGTTGTGCCAAGGGAATCTCCAGAATTTTACATTAGTCAATAAACAAAACTTCTACTCAAACTATGTCAGTTAGAAAGATCTTTTTGTGCCCCATTGATTATATGAAACAACAACAACAAAAATATATAAACAATTATTGAACTGATGAGCATACCCCAGAACATATTTAGATTGTCATCTTTTTCTTTTCTTTTCAGAATAAAAGACTGAGCTATGATAGCAACTGGTGGGGTGATAACTGGCCTGGCTGCCTTGAAAAGGCAGGACTCTGCCAGATCCCAGCATCATGTCAACCTCAGCCCATCACCTGCAGCCCAGGAGAAGAAACCTGTCAGGCGTCGACCTCGGGCCGATGTTGTGGTGGTTCGAGGCAAAATCCGGCTTTATTCCCCATCTGGCTTTTTCCTCATTTTAGGAGTTCTTATCTCCATTGTAGGAATTGCAATGGCAGTCCTTGGATATTGGCCCCAAAAAGAACATTTTATTGATGCCGAGACAACATTGTCAACAAACGAAACTCAGGTCATCCGGAACCAAGGTGGTGTGGTGGTTCGCTTCTTTGAGCAGCATTTGCATTCGGATAAAATGAAAATGCTTGGCCCTTTCACAATGGGGATTGGCATTTTCATTTTCATTTGCGCTAACGCCATTCTTCATGAGAACCGTGATAGAGAAACCAAAATCATACACATGAGGGATATCTACTCCACAGTCATCGACATCCACACGCTAAGAATCAAGGAGCAAAAGCATATGAATGGCATCTACACTGGTTTAATGGGAGAAACAGAAGTAAAACAGAATGGGAACTCCTGTGCTTCCAGACTGGCAGCAAATACCGTTGCTTCTTTCCCAGGTTTTAGGAGCAATTTTCGGATGGACAGCTCTGTTGAGGAGGATGAGCTGCTTGTGCTAAAGGAAAGTAAGAGTTGTGGGCATCTTAGGCCACCTTTGCTCTCTGACAGCTCTGCCTCTGTTTGTGGCCTCTATCCACCTCCTTCCAAGACAAGTGATGAGAAGACCAGTGGCCCTAAGAAATGTGAAACCAAATCAATTGTGTCATCCTCCATCAGTGCTTTTACACTACCTGTGATCAAACTAAATAACTGTGTTATTGATGAGCCTAGTATAGATAACATCACTGAGGATGCTGATAACCTCAAAAGTAGGTCAAGGAATTTGTCAATGGACTCCCTTGTGGTCCCTTTGCCCAATGCCAGTCAGTCTTTCCAGCCAGTCAGTATGATGCTCCCAAGGAATAATTCCATTGGGGAGTCATTGGCAAGTCAGTACAAGTCCTCTGTGGCCCTTGGACCTGGGGCTGGACAGCTCTTGTCTCCTGGGGCTGCTAGAAGACAGTTTGGGTCCAACACATCCTTGCATTTGCTCTCATCACACTCAAAATCCTTAGACTTAGACAGGGGTCACTCCACCCTAACTGTTCAGGCAGAGCAACGGAAACATCCAAGTTGGCCTCGGTTGGATCGAAGCAACAGCAAAGGATATATGAAACTGGAGAACAAAGAGGACCCGATGGAGAGGTTGCTTGTGCCCCAAGCTGCAATCAAGAAAGACTTTACCAATAAGGAGAAACTTCTTATGATTTCAAGATCTCACAATAATTTGAGTTTTGAACATGATGAGTTTTTGAGTAACAACTTGAAGCGGGGAACTTCTGAAACAAGGTTTTAATGTTAAAATATATATATATTATTTTAAAAGGCTATCTACTTTGAACCTATTTCCCCCAGCATTTCCTTGTTAAAGCATTGGTTATAAGCCTTTTTAATCAAATGGTTTGTAGTGTATTATTAGACCTGGCTGCTTAATTCTGTAATGGGGGTGGCTATATGTTTGGATTACTTATGATTACAGTACTCTATATTATTACATATGATTTTATTTTTCCTATTCCTTTGAAAGCATGATCTCTTTTATTAGTATGAATACAAAATACTTCCATCCAAATTAAAGTTTCTTTTCTTTACTTTAAAGTTCTTGCGTCAATGATCATATTCATAGAGCAGAGTGTCCAGTTTGGAAAAGGCAGGGTACGAAAGTGTGGGCCAGAAGTACCAAATTTAGGCCCCAGATTCAATGTATATTTATAAATGAGTATGAATGCAAATCTTAGGTGTGATTTTCTGAATAATTGCTTTTATACAGGATTGTTTTAATTATTTAAAAGGAAGTTCTAGCTTCTGTGCAAGGTGACATATATGAACTGGTTCAATTAGTTTAGTTCCTTGTGAACTAATTTGATAAGAATTGCTTAAGTTGATTGTGACGAGTACCCTGAGCTCTAGATAGACAGTATTTTTTTTTCAACATCAGTTCTATTTTATTGATAATTTATTAAGAAACCATTTATTGAAGAGCCAAGGCTGAGAATGCCAGATAGTCTTAGGGGTAGATATCAAAATGCTATTAGCTATAACTTTAGATACTCAGAATCGAAATTTCTTTGCAACTGACTTGACAAATGAATGAACCAATTTAGTGTTTAGAAGTGCTACCTTGAAATAACTATATATATGAAGAAAATGTTGAGTAATGAATGAAAATATATGCTAGTTAGTGCTAACTAGTCTCAGTACCTTTTCTTAACCACGTCTGTTATCATCCAATATCCACTCATTCCCATATCCTTGTCTTCCACCAATATTTTTTAGATCCTGTTATTTGGAAAATAATCAGGTAACCTTGACATTTCTTTTATCTTCGCATATCACTAAGTTGGTGATTGAAGAAAATTTAGTCCTTGATCCATTGCCTTGAAATTTACCTTGTGCTGGAAAGCCTTATGATAACTCCAAAGACTTTCTTATGGTGTAATAAATGTATAGGATTGTGGTTCTCGGTTATTGAAGATAATAAATATTAAAGTGGATTTTTCCATCAGAAAATTTTCATGTTTTCCGTTAAGGTAACATAATTTTTAAAAATAGTTTAATGGAATACTCAGGAAATTTTACAGGTTTTTCCCAATGCCTAAATGTTTCTGAACATCAGAGTTGCAGTTGTTGGGAGAGAAGAAGGAAGATAGCTCTGTATTTGTAGCTTCCCCCAATTCTACCTTGTATTAGCATCACGAGCTTCCCTGAACTGAGGCACAGTGTTTCTTGTTAGAACATCAAGCCTGTGTGTTGTAACAGAGTGGGCTTAATATTTTACCATAAAGCATTTAATAAACCTCCAGTGAATACCAGTTTGTGTTCTTCATACATTTGCTGTTATTTTTTGAATAAAAACATTTCTACTTAAAGTACTGTTTTTTAAACTTTCAAATAGATTCTACTGAAGGAACTTGATACCCCACCACATGCCCTGGGGTTTTTCATTTTGTGGCTTTTTTACTTTGCTTCTATTAGGTTAAAGAGCTAGGTCCATCCAATTGAATTAAGCTGTTTTCATCTTTTGTTATTTTTGGCATGATGGTTAATTTTATGTGAAAACTTGACTGGGCTAAGGGGCATCCAGATTTCTGGGTGTGTCTTTAAAAGAGATTAGCATTTGAATTGGTAGACTGAGTAACAAAAATTGCACTAACTTACGCAGATGGACATAAACCAATCCATCGAAGGCCTGGATAGGACAAAAAAGGCAGAAGAGGGGTGAATTCCTTCTCTCTGCTTGAGCTGGGACATCCATCGTCTCCTACCCTAGGACATCAGTGCTCCAGGTCCTTGGGTCTTTGGACTCAGACTGGGACTTACACCATTGGCTCCCTTGGTTTTTAGGCCTTTGAGTTTGGACAAGAACTACACCACCTGCTTTCCTAGGCTTCTCTGGCTTGCAGACAGAGGGCAGATTGTAAGACTTCTTGGCTTCACAATCAGGAGAGCCAATCCTTCGAAATAAATTTATGTATGTATGTATGT